TATTTTAGGAGAGAGTAAGTAATAATTAATATTTTTGAACTTCTCCATATCATATTCATGCCCGTACACATGCATCTTTAAGACATGGGAAACTCAGGGATCAACAAAATTCTTCCCTAGCCTACAACATAGAGTACTATCTCAATGGTATTTTTTTCACTGATATAGCAATTAATTAAAAAATATGGTCCCTTTTTGTAATTAAATAATTAATAAATTGTAACAAAATTAATTTTTTAATTACAAATAATGAGAGTTATACTTGTTGTTCTATCACTATATTAATAAATAAGGATATTTTTATTGTTGTATTAAAGAGTTTCTCCTTTTGGGGATATATTATTGGTTTATTCTTATCTATATGTTCGGTAAGGTAGATGTGTATGTGCACTAATTCAGCTAATAAATTCTTGTTAATGATCAAGTTAATTATAGATTACTAGGTAAATTCATCTTTAATTTTCTTTTTCTTTACATTTAGGATGAAAGAGAGAATCATAGGTTATTTTACGTAGAACATTTAATTTTTAAGTTAAGAACATGTTCGGTGAAATTTGTAAAATTTTTTGTTTTTTTTATTGTTTATGAATGATAAGTTTAAATTTTTATTATATAAAAAATTTTAAAGTTACTTTTAAAAATATAAAAAAATGAGTAAAAAGTGAGTAAAAAATAATTTATAAAAAGTATAATTTTAAAGCTTTTCAAAATTTATTGTTTAGAATTTTTTTAAGATTAAAAAAATTAAAAAATTTAAATTTTAAAAAAAAAATTTAAATTTATAAAATATAAATAATATCAAAAAAACTGAAATTCTCTTAAGATTACCGAACATAGTCTAGGGTATGATTTACTGAGCGTGGGAATGCTGGGCTTTGGGGAGTCATTTGTTGCATTGAAAGAGGTCGGGAGTTCCAATAACACGAGTGGCGGTGGGGACACAGAGATAAACAAATCCTCCGACTATATTTATAAAATTGGATTTTTTAAAGTTGGAATTTTGGGTGTCCAAGAAGAAACCCTAAAACCATATGTTAATTTAATCGGAAACAGCACTCCAGTCCCTGTTTAGCAAATCAAACAGAGAGCATTCTAAGTTATATTTGTATGGAATCGGACCTTTAAGTTCAATGGTTCGACACCGAGTCTTAAGTACTTGGGTAAAGTGGTCAGAGTTTCGAACTCTACCACCATCGTGAACTTCATTAAAAAGCGGTCTGATGGTTGCGCCTCTCATTTGAGAGGATGGAATGTTCACCCGGTCTGAGGATCAAATCCTCAATTATTAACAACTAATTCATACTAATTTTTTAATCATTACCTTGTAAAAAAAAAAAAAAGTTATATTTGTATGGAATCGGACCTTTAGATCCAATGGTTCGATCCCAAATCTTAGGTGTTAGGTGAGGTGATCAGAGTTTCGAGGTTTACCACTATCGTGAACTCCATTAAAAAATGACATGATGGTCGCACGCTTCATTTGAGAAGATGGAATGTTCACCCGGTCTGAGGGTCGAATCCCCAGTTACTAACAATTAATTCATACTAATTTCTTAATCATTACCCTTGTAAAAAAAAAAAATTATATTTGTATGGTATTGGTGATGACTAGGTTTCTTAGTGTTAGAAACTTATAAAATAACCATTGCTAAAGGGGTCCCGAATGCACCATGAGAGAGAGATACCATCTTTCTCAACATTAATTGTTCTCTTTTCAGCCTCTTCTCTTCTCTAATGTAAAATAACATTCTCCTGCTACCATAAAACTTAAAAGATACAAGTTCAGGGCTACAGAGAAACACACTATCTGTAGTACACTTTCCTAGCTTCTACTCAGTAATGGCTTCTTTATGTTTTTATTCTCTACACTTATCAACCCCAAAAGTTTTCTTTTATCATATTTGTTGTCTTACTTATCTCTTTTGGATTAGTTGTAGAACAGAAGACTTGTGATTGATTTCTTGGAGGAATACAAAGTACAGTTTCTTTGATTAATTATTTAATAAACCAGGAAGAGGAGATCATATGGGTTCCATGAATTCAAACAACTGGTCTTCATTTCCACTTTCTCCCACTCAACCTTCTTTTCCTACACATCTGCACACTTTTCAGCCTCACCAGTTCAATCTAGGGGTTGTCAATGGTAACATGGAGAACTCATTCCAACCTCAAGGTATATATGTACATCTCTTTGGTCTCTTCCTCTCTCATGTTCCATTTAATTATCCCAAGAATAGTGTTTTTAGTTATTGCATATATTTGAACCATTGATTATGTTAAGACAAAAATATATAAGGTTTTGAAATTACTAATGCCAAAACTCCGCTAAATTCTTGTTGGTTTTGTTTTTTATTTAATTTGGTTTGTACAGAATGGAATCTGATTAATACTCATGAAAGTGAAGAAGTACAAAAGGTTGCAGACTTCCTTGGGATTTCTAAATCTGAAAACCATCAACCTTTGGATCTTGTGGCTATCAATGAAATTAATCAGGGCAGTGATTTCGACTACTCATTTCAGAATAACAGTGTAGTGCCAGTTGAAAACGTTCTGGTAACAGCCAATGACGACTATGAGTTCCAAGAAAACGCAAACAAGTTGCAGTCCCAGCTGACATTATCCATGGGAAGTGGTAAGGGTTCTACTTGTGAAACCAGTGCCGACACCACTACTAATATTACTGTTGAGGCTGCCCATAGAAGGACCTTGTATACCTTTGGCCAAAGAACATCCATATACCGTGGGGTTACAAGGTGAGCTCAGTATTATTATTCCTCCTACTTCTCACCTTGTTGTTTCAAAATTTATGTTAAAAAGTTCCTATTTTGAGATATCTGGGTGCTAATTAATATTGGTGCAAGCATATATATATAGGCATCGATGGACAGGAAGGTATGAAGCTCATCTTTGGGATAATAGCTGTAGGAAAGAAGGGCATTCAAGGAAAGGCAGACAAGGTAGCACTAGCTAGTATTTCTAAAATGCTGTTCAAAAAAAAAAAAAAGAAAGAGCTAGTATTTCTAAAATCTAGATAGATGATTAATTATGCACTGCTTATGTGTTCTGCACTAATCATTTTCCCTCCATTTCTTCTTGGGTTCTTCTTGGTTATGCTTTGCACCATCAATATTCCAGTCTACTTGGGTGAGTCATGAAATTATTTAATTACTACATGCTTTTATTTCGATAAATCTCAAAAGTTTGCTTGCGGAACTTCTTCACCTTTGTTTTTGATGAACAGGTGGGTATGACAAAGAGGAGAAAGCAGCTAGGGCTTATGATCTTACTGCACTCAAGTACTGGGGACCATCAACCCCCACTAATTTCCCTGTAATCTTTCAAAAATATCTGCAACAATATTGGAGTGTGCACGAGATATATATTCAAAGCATATATATAATCAAGGCTTAATTTTTTTGTTCCTGCAGATCAGTAATTATGAGAAGGAACTAGAGGAGATGAGGCGTATGACAAGACAAGAATTTGTAGCTGCCATTAAGAGGTAGTACGTACCCTGCAACAATTAAAAAAAATGAATGAATGCTGTACACCAATTAATCACTACCAAAACCTTATAATAATAATAATAATAATAATAATGTAATCTGTGTTTATCAGGAAAAGTAGTGGTTTCTCAAGAGGTGCATCCATGTATCGTGGTGTTACAAGGTACCAAAATCAATATGTATTTATTAGGAGAAATCTTGTTCTTCCTTTTCTTGCTCGTGAAAGCATTGACGATCTTTAAATAGGCATCACCAGCACGGAAGATGGCAAGCTAGGATTGGTAGGGTAGCAGGAAACAAAGATCTTTACCTGGGAACTTACAGTAAGTCTTCTATATCCCATCCAATACCTTATCAATTTCCCCTCAAGGAGCATCAGCCCCGAGTAAGACAAGACATATCTACAATATATACAGAGAATTCACCAAGAATTATCTATTTGAGTACATGACTTTTCTTATAAACCAAACATTTATGCGTGGTCAACTAGGCCAATCCTTGAGGCAGCTAGCTAGCAAATTTTTTCCAAAGAGAAATTAATGGGTTTTGAATTTTTTTTGGTTTTACCTTGCAGGCACTGAGGAAGAAGCAGCTGAAGCATACGACATTGCAGCAATCAAGTTCAGAGGCCTCAACGCCATCACCAATTTCGACATGAATCAGTACGATGTGAATGCCATTCTCGAAAACAACACTTTACCCATCAGAGGGGCCGCTAAACGGTTACAGGAAGCTAAGGCAACCGAATCCTCAAGGGAACGCGAAGAAATGATAGCCCTCGGCTCAAGTTTCCAGTATGGAAACTCCAGCTCCGGGCGGCCACAGTCCTACCCTCCATTTCAGACCCCATATGATCAACTCCAACATCTGCTAACTCTACAGAACCACGAAATTTCTCAGTATGCACAAGATACACTGTCGTTTCACCACAATTACATCCAGAACCAGCTCCAGCTCCAGCTCCACCAGCATTCTGGGTCGTACCTGCACCAATCGGATCAGAATTCGCAGTTTTACACGAGTTATATTCAGAGCAATCCGGATTTGCATCATGGGTTGATGACCGTGGGAGGTTCTTCGAATTCTTTAGTGGAGAACAATGGGAGTTCTAGTGGGAGTTACAGTGGAAGGTTTCTTGGGATGGGTTTGAATTCTACGGCGGGCAATGCAGTTGGGTCCACTGAAGAAATTGCGGTTGTTAAGGTTGATTATGATATGCCTTCCGGCGGGTATGGCGGCTGGTCCGGTGAGTCGGTTCAGGGGTCGAACACCGGAGTTTTTACAACGTGGAATGAGTGATCGAAAGAGGAAGGAAAACGAAAAAATGGTTTAGTGTTCAGCGCAAAAGAGGTTAAGGGCTGTTCGGTAGAGCGTTTAAAATTAAGCTGATAGTG